TTTCAATGTGGTGATTATATCTGCATTCGCATAGAAAAATAATCTGCAGTGCCTTTTAAATCGATCCAGCTTGCTTTAGAAACCCATAAATCATACCACCAATTAGTTGACTTTATAGATTGGTGTCATTGGTAACTTATGATACACAATAATAATAATAGTCCTTGAATTTGATAGAGCGCCTTTTCACATCTTCTACACGTCTCAAAGCACTTCACAGAATATACTTTAAAGTGAATTGACTGTATATTTTTGTGGGCGAAGCGAGGCAGTCAACGACGCACAGCAGAGTCCCACAAACAGTCATGGATTGAATGACCAAATTATTATTTTTTTAATGGCATTTTTATCCCCGGAAAAGCGATCTGCCAATCGACTAACAACTGGGTTCCTACTTACTCGGTAAACAGAAGTGTGTAGAGAAAAGAAATTTGCCCAACATTTCGCCCTGCCCGGGAATCAAACCCAGGCCTCTCGCTTGCGAGGTGAGTGCTCTAACCAGTGAGCTACGGGACTCCACAAATCATATGATCCCCTGTATTATTTATTAACTGTAATTAACAGCAAATAACCAAAGCAGAATTGAGTAGAACTCAAATACTGCGATCGTGCTCTTTCCCTCCAGGCCCATTTATCATCACTTTTTGCTTTCAATTTATAAACCACTTTGAGTGAATTGGTGAATAATTGTTATTCAATGGCCTTATCTTTCTCCATGTAGTGGATCTGATCCAAATTCTTATTCCTTTTAGTGCCTCATTTAATCTCAATACGGCTGATTTTTAATAATTAATTATGGTGTAGTATAACTTGCCATCCTGACAAATCGTATTGTAAAGATTTTAAAACAACTCAATTTACTGCATTGAATGAACATCAGAGTCGCTCTTTTTATCAATTCAAAAGCAATGATCCTGCATATTTCATCAAATTACTTCCTCAGATTGGCTACAAATGACATTTTGGTCTTACAATCTTACATTTCGAAAATCAAAAAAACATGGCATTTCCCTGGAAACTCTCGTCAAGTATATGAAAGGCGCTAAATTAAGTATTTATACAACAATAATAATCCTTGCCTTTGGTATAGTGCCTTATCACATCTTCGAGCTATTTCAAAGCGCTCCACAGGAAATATTGTAAAGTGAATCGACTGTATATTTTGTGAACGAAACTCAGCAACCAAATTGCGCACAGCAGTGTCCCACAAATAGTCGTGGATTGAGTGACCAAATTATTTTTTTGAAAGGGATTATTACCCCTGGGAATATTTAAAGAGATTAATGTGTAAAATCACTTTCTGAGATTACACCAATTCTTGACCCAACTGCATGGGCTTTGTAGAACAAGTTTCACTGATTGCACATCATCAGTATGGGGTTGCTGTCCAAGTCTGTATTACATAAGTGATCAAGCTCATTTTGCAAGTAGATACAGTAATACCTCAGAGTGCTACCTTCTCAATATTTATTCAGTTACAGGAAACAAGCAGAGGAAGACACCATGGAAGCACCGATTGGTGACTGCGAGGCGATGCTGGACTTCCTCCAATCCAAAGTTGAGGGAATCCGCTCATCTGCCTCTGCAACTACCCCCGCATCTCCTCCTCCCACCCCAGTCCCTACCTACCACTCCCGCCACACCTCTGCACCGTCTCCCCCTCCTCTCTCATCACCACCAAAACCCGTGAAAACCACCTCCTGTTCCGTTGACCCCATCCCTACACACCTCCTTACCTTCCAGCTCCACCTCCTTGTCTCTCTACTCACTGACATTGTTAACCACTCCCTGTCCTCTGGTACTGTTCCCAGCCCTTTAAAAAACACTGTCATCATTCCTATGCCTGGACCCTTCTTATCCCCAAACCTCCGCCATCTCCAACCTCGCCTCCCTGGACCCTTCTCTACTCCCAAACTACTGCCCCATCTCCAACTTCACCTTCCTCTCCAAGGTCTTGAAACGAGTTGTTGCTTCCCAGCTTCGCTCCTTCCTCTCCCACCACTCCCTTCTTGAACCCCTCCAATCGGGCTTCCGTACCGCCCACAGCACAGAAACTGTGCTGTGACCAATGACATTCTGTCCATCTGCGACCAGGGCTCCCTCTGCCTCCTCGTCCTCCTTGACCTCTTTGCTGCTTTCGACAACGTCGACCACTCTATCCTCCTCCACCGCCTCTCCTTTCACCATCAACCTCCACAGCGCTGTCTTTCATTAGTTCAGATCGTACCTCTCACACCACTTGCACTTCATCTCCACAAGCGGCTTCTCCTCTCGCCCCCGGACCGTCTCGTGCGGCATCCCTCAGGACTCTGTCCTTGGTCCCTCCTCTTCAATATCTATATCTCCCTCTTGGTGACATCATCCGCAGACATGGGGTCAACTTCCACATGACACCCAACTCTATCTCTCTGCCTCCAGCCTTGACTCCAGGACTCACTGCTGTCCTGACAGAATGTCTGTCAGACATCAAGTCCTGGATGAGAAGTAACTTTCTTCAGTTGAACATCAACAAGACCGAGGCTCTCCTGATTGGCTCCCGTCAGCGCCTCCTCACCTCAGGCGCTGACAGCATCACCGTCCATGGGGCTCACTCCCCCTCACTGAGCCAGTCCGGAACCTTGGGGTCTTGTTTGACCCTCAACTATCCTTTCCACCCCAAATCTGTACCATGACCCACTGTCTCACACCACAGGCCGCCAAAACCCTCATACACGCCTTCATTACATCGAGGCTCGACTATGCAAACTCATTGCTTGTCGGCCTCCCCAACTCCTCCCTCCACAGGCTGCAGATCATCCAGAACTAACTCTGCAGCCCGTGTCCTCTCCCGCACCAGGCTCCGCGACCCTATCACCCCCATCCTCACCCAACTCCGCTGGCTTCCCATCACACAGGGGATACAGTTCAAGATCCTGGTCCTCACCTTCAAAGCCCTCCACGGTCTTGCTCCCCCACCTCTGTGACCTCCTAACCCCCTTCCACCCTATTCACTCCCTCCACTCAGCGGGTTGCTGCTTCACATCCCCAGCCTTGCTTGTCCCACTATCAGCGGGTGGAATTTTCCGCCACTCTGCACCCACCCTCTGGAACTCCATCCGCAGTCCCTCTGTCTCACCCCATCCCTCGCCACCTTCAAGACCCACCTCAAGTCCCTCCTCTTCGACCCTGCTTTCGATCTCCCAGCTTTCAACTCTGCCCCCCGCACCCTCAGCTTGGGTCCGTAATCTGTCTGTCCAGCGCCTTGGGACATCCTCCCGATGTGAAAGGCGCTATACAAATGTAATTTTGTTGTTGTTGCTCTATAATGCAATTCTTGGGACATCCTCCTGACGTTAAAGGTGCAATATAAATGTTAATTTGTATTGCATTATAACATGGCATCTAAATTAATGAATCAAATCCTACATTACAATGTGGTGCATCAGTACTGTTTTGGTTTAACTTTCTCAATTCCATTTTGAATCGTACACATTTCTTTGAGAAATCGATTTTAAAGACTGAAGAGCCCTATCGTGTCTGAACATTCTAAACAGCTCATTCTTCCAACACTGAGGATCATCCACACTGATTTGGTCTGAACTGTTTCCAGTGCTTAGGAAGCAGCTTAATGTCATTGGGGGCAGGAAATCTGCAGTACTCCAGGTGAGGGCTGACCAGAGCATTACACAGCGTGAGCATTATTGCGGGGTATCTGAGCTCAGCCGATTTGGCAATATACCCCAGATCCAGTTTGTCTCCTTTATAGTTGTCATTGTTCTGACAGTGAGCAACGAATAAACTTACATCCCTAGGTCTCTATTCACTTCCTAATGTGAAGTTTCAGGGCGAAACGTCGGGCAAGTTTCCTTACTACACACGCCTCTGTTTACCTAGCAATAAGTAGGAACCGGTTGTTAGCCAATTGGCGGATCACTTTCCAGGGTAATAATGCCCACCCCCTGCCCTCCCACCATAAAAAAAGCTGGTCACACAATCCACGACTGTTTGTGGGACACTGTTGTGCATAATTGGCTGCCGCATTTCGCCCACAGAATACACTTTATGCAATTAATATACAATTGACTTTACAATATATTCTTGAAGCTTTGAATCGTCTCAACAATGTGATAAAGTTCTATATCAAATGCAAGGATTATTAAGGATTATTATTTATTATTAAATACAATCTATTTATAACATTGATGCTCATTTGCTTTTCACTTTTTCCCATTTAAACTCCAACTAAACACTTCCAGGTTTGTAATTGTTATCCTTCTCTGATTTTCAATTCACATTGCTGAAGCTTATTCTAGTCGATTATAGTTTATTCTAGTAAACTGTGATTAAACAATAATTCGAATACTTCTGAAATAAACTGACCTTTGTCTTAACAAATCTCTTGTAATAATCCAGAGTAGTCGATAGAATTTAGTAAAATGAATTAGTTTGTCCACTCCTTCAATTTTCTCTTCTGAAGGTAGCAATGCAAATGAAAGCAAAATTCTACGAGAAACAGTTGCCCTCCAGGATTTTTATTCAGTGGCATACCTTAATCTCCCAACATTAATAGTAATAATCATCCTTGCATTGAATGTAGCGCTTTATCAAGTCGTTGAAATGCCTCAAAGCGCTTCACAGCATATTTTGTGGGCGAATCACGGCAGCCAATTGTGCATAGCAGTGTCCCACAAACTGTCATGGACTGAGTGAAATTATTCATTTAGTTGGTGGGATTATTACTTTTCAAAAGCAATTAACAACCAGATTTCTACTTACTGGTAAACAGAGGCGTGTGGTTCCACCCTGCCCAGGAATTGAACCCAACCTTCACTTGTGAGTGAGTAACAATGGCCATTAATCAAACACGAGTTACAAGTGTTTGAAGCATGCACTTCATATTTTCTATGTCATTATTTCCGCTTAAAATGATCTTATCTTTCCTTTTATAAAAAGGATTTGATGGAGGTTATGTTGATACCAGGCTATCTAAACAGTAGTGAAGAAAGACTGGTAGAACTTACCGATCAATGAGTTTCTTTGCAAATCCAAAATCTGTAAGCTTAATATGACCTTCTCTGTCCAGTAGAATATTCTCAGGCTTTAAGTCTCTGTAAACGACGTCTTTGGCATGTAGATATTCTATTGCACACACAATCTCCGCAGAGTAAAAAAGTCCAGTACTATTGTTGAATCGTCCCATGTTACGTAAGAAAGAAAATAGTTCTCCTCCGGGTACATATTCCATTAACATATATAGAAAGCGATCATCGTGATGTGTCCAGTACCTGTTATCAAACATTAATAGAGATTACTATGTGCAAGAATTGACAAGAGTTCAAGCTACCTTTAAATTATTTAGCTATAAATGTATTTAAATATGTAAATTTGGAAGCAACCTTGCCTGTGAACAAGAAGATTTAAGCGCAGGAAATTATTTGACCCAGTACAGTCTCAGTGCAGGTGCTAAATCCCACATTAGAGCCATCTTCTTTACGAATGATAATAATTATCCTTGCACATGATATAGCAACTTATGTCGTTGCTCAAAACGCTTCACAAAATATACTGTAAAGTGGAATTCCATTCCCATAGTCCCTCCCTATGCCCAATAGCAGTTTTCCGTAAACTATCATTCTACAAGAACAACAACTTGCATTTATATAGCGCCCTTCACACAGAGTAGCGTCCCGGAGCTTGACATTGGCAAAGTCTGCCTTTTAAATGGTATTATAAACTCTGCTTATTTGGTAGCACTCTTGCCTCAGACTCCTGGTCAATAATCTCCCCAAATAAAATGGGTCATTCAATTCTTGAGTGCTTGTGGGATATTGCCATATGCAAATCATCTGCCGTGTACCCCTACCAAAATACAGTTACTACACTTTACAATGTACTACAAGTGCTTTGAGACGTCAATGACACACTATATCAAATGCAAGTCCGATCAGTATAATTATAAATATTATTGAATCAGTTTAAAAACTTCCATCACTTCAAATGTTAGAGGAAAAACATGTCATCAAATGAAAAGTTTAACGCACAAACTACTGTATTACTAGTGATTTTCCCATTAAAACAGGAAGTGGAAAAACGACTCCAAATGACTCCTGCCCCCAATTTAATGCAAGGCAATTCAATGTAAACACATATCCACAACCATCATTAAATGCTTGTATTTTTGCAACCAGCACAACCTAAAACAAATATGGATATTCTCAATTGAAGGCAAAAGTTGATCAAGATACCAAATGACTTCCTGTTTCCATAAATCCTATTGGAACTCACAATTAGTGTTCTAAAGTTTATCATCTTGTAATGAGTCAGGGCCAGTTATTCTAAAATTGTTTGGCTTGTAACTTGGACTACATTTTTGCACATTGTTATAATCCAACTAAGTCGTGAGTATGAAAGATTTATTTGCATAGCCAAGCATTGCTTGGGTGTAGTTGTTCTCCAGTGAGGGACATTATAGTGCTGGTTATAAGCAAATATTTTCACATTTTATTTATTTCTAAGAATTACAATATTCAGGGATAACTAACAAAACCCCCATGAGTGGCTGGAACTTTGGGAAGGCAAGAGAAGGACTGGTATTATAGAGAGAAAAGGAGAGGGTAACTACTACTACAACAACAACAAAATTTATATAGTGCCCCTCCCAGAGCGTAGCATTCCAATATCTCAGTGGCACTGCACTTGAATGAGCAGTTAAACTATACCTGTATGACCAATTACTAGAGTGACTGAGCAGAAGGAGTAAAATCTACTTCAATATACTATATTTGGTGCAAAATTGTACCAAGAAATCTAAATCAACATTAAATTGTGATTTTAAAATCAACATTAAATTTTGCAAATGCAAAATGTAAGTAAAATGTTTTGATTCAACAAATCATCTAGATTTTCACACAAGTAAAAATATCCTAATACCATTATTTAGGCAATGGAGCAAAACAATCACAAAAACTTGAACAATGACGACAACAGCTAAGAAACATTTCAAGCTCAATTCAATCAACACGCCGGTGAGTTTAAAATTCTATTTCAATCAAGAATTGATGAATAATTCAGCACACTGAAGGTAAATTATTCAAGAATGCAATATTCATAGGTGTCTATCCACTATAATTTACATTGCTTTCAATGTGATATAGCACCTTGTCGCGTCTTTGAGGTGTCTCAAAGTGCTTCACAGGCTGTATGTAAAGTGAATTGACTGTATATTTTGTGGGCGAAACGCTGCAGCCAATTGCGTCAGCAGCGTCCCACAAACAGTTGTGGATTGAGTGGCCAATATTGTTATTTTCATTTTAAAAATATATAATTTTTAATATATAAGGAATTATTACAACAACAACAACAAGATTCCATTTATAAAGCGCCTTTCACGTCAGGAGGACGTCCCAAGGCGCTGCACAGTTGGGTCATGACCTGAGCAGGGGGGAAATGGTCAGGGAAGGGGAGGGAGCGAGGAGGGGGGAAATGGTCAGGGTGAGGGGAGGGATGGGAGGGAGCGAGAAGGGGGAAGAGAGTCGAGAGGGGAGCTGAAGGCTATTACCCCAGGAACAGCGATACGCTAATCGACTAACAACCAGGTTCCTGCTTACTGCCAGGTAAACGGAGGTGTGTGGAGTAAGGAAACTTGCCTAACAGCTCGCCCTGCATTTTATATCATTTTATGATAACTTCTAAAAGCATTTCATAGGCAATTGCTGCAAGTATATTGATTGAAGGGCAATCAAGGCAACCGCGTATGCCAGCAATGTCCTACAACCAACCATAAAGTGAATAACCAATCTATCTGAAGGATTATTGAACTTACTTCTCTTTTTGAACAGTGTTATGGGATCTTCAAAGACCACCTATGTACAACTCATTCTTTTCTAATCTGAAAAACGAAGCAGTCCTTTCAGTACTGTGCTGGAGTGTCATCGGAGTCTACAAGCTCAAGTCTCAACAAATATCATGGATCCGCAACATCTAGCAGTAAGTAGGAACCTGTTGTTAGTCGAATGATGGAACGCTTTACGGCGGAATATTCCCTTAAAAAAATAATAATAATTTGGTCACTCAAACCACGGCTGTTTGTGGGACACTACTGTGCACAATTGGTTGCCATGTTTCGCCCACAAAATACAGAGTCAATTCACTTTTACAGTGTAACCTGTGAAGCGCTTTGAGACATCTCGAAGACGTGATAAGGCGCTACATCAAATGCAAGGATTATTATTATCCTCAACAATCTGATCCAGAGGTGAATGTGCTGCAAACTGAGCTAAACTGACATGCACTGCTATCCATAGCCCTTAGTCGAACAAAACCTCCACTTACAGGGATATGAGAAATGGGTGATTGGTTTCTTTTAAGATGCTTTTCTCATTGTGAACATGCTGTTCCTGCTTCAGTCTAATCACATCAGGAATGCTCATCACCTTCAAGGCTCGGTATTCTTTTGTCATCTTGTCCTTAACAAGGAGAACTCGCCCAAAGGTACCAGTCCCTGAAAAACAAGTTAAGTAGCAATCATTGGAAATCCTTTATTCACAAATAATAGCATTTAATATAATGCCTTATCATGTCTTCGAGACGTCTCAAAGCGCTTCACGGAATATACTGTAAAGTGAATCGACTGTATATTTTGTTGGTGGAACTCGGGGGCCAATTGCGCACTGCAGCGTCCCACAAACAGTTATGGATTGCGTGACCACATTATCTTTTTTCAAAGGGATCACAATTTGATCACAAAATCCAATTTATTTATTCCTAGATTTTATTCAGACAATTTACTGTATAGAAACATGTTCGATTACATCTCAGTTTTAATACAATCAACATAGAACCAGAGTAGTTAGGAATGAACTGCTGGGAGCAGTAGTTGGGGACGAATACAGATTAGCTTTTAAAAAGGAAATTGGTAAAATACAGTAAAATATAAGTCATATCAGTTGGAACCATAATATTTAATATGGTTTTCGTGAAATCTGAGTTGCACGCACACTGTATAAAAGATATAAAATCTGATTTAATCAATAATCTACACTGCACGTGCGTAATCAGTGCAGCCAGTGAGTGTACATGAGGTTGATGGGTTAAGACTACATTTCCCACAGTTCAATGGGTCCTGACCCCCCCCCACATGTGCACTCACTGGCAAGCGTTGGGATTGCAATGGATTGTTCCTCTGCACCTCCACCTGCAGATCAAGACGGCGTTTCCTGTGTTTGGAAGCAGCAGCCGGTCAATGCGCTTGCGTCGACGGGTCAGGGCATCATTTCCCACGATTCAATGCATTCGCTAAGTGCAGGCGTAATGGAGGCCAGGAGAGCGGCGTTACGAGTTAGGTGGGGAATTAATACGAATTGTGCAAAGAAATCTAAATGGTTTTGATTGGAAACTGAATGGGACTCGGATGAATGACGAATGAGGTATTTATACGATTTATAAAGATAAGAATTATACAAGTTTTACTGTACTTCCTTGTGCGCAATCCCATTATATAGGTGATACAGAGGGTATCTCTTTTCAGAGTTGAAGAGCCCTGATTTATCTGCAGAGCTCATTCATCCAACACTGAAGGTCATACTCTTTGCTTTCGCTGCCGGTCTCCAAGGCCTGGACAATATCTTTAGGTCATGATGACCAGGATTGAATGCAGGTGTGGCCTGATCACAGTACTGTACTACTCAACCATGACCTCTGAAGGATCTGAACTTAACTGATTTGGCAATGGAGCCCAGCGTTAAAATTATTACCCGTCTGAAGACAAAATCTTCAACTTAAGGGAAATTGTAGAGTCCTGTAGCTCCAATGATTGCTACTTAACTTGTTTTTCAGGGTTAGAGCCCTCGCCTCGCAAGCAAGAGGACCTGGGTTCGATTCCCGGGTAGGGTGAAATGTTGGGCATGTTTCTTTGCTCCTTTTTGACATCCAGGTTTGACTATGTCAACACTCTGCTCGCCAGTCTCCTCAGCTGTTTCCTATGACAGCTACAGACTATCCAGAACTCTACAGCCGTGTCTTCTTCCACACCATACTCTGTGAGCCCATCACCACTATCCTCGCTCGGCTCTATTTGCTCCACAGTCCTCACCAGTTGCGCATGGGGTCCTTCAGCATTACAGCCAGTAAGGGCTTGGGTCCCCACAAATGTTTCACATGGAGCACCGCGCATGACAGGATAGAATGCATTCATTCATATAGTGCCTTTCACGCTGCGGAGCGTCCTGGAGCGCTGTTTTTACCTAAATATAAACAGACAAATTGCTCTTTTAAAAAAACAAGCTCGGTCATATATACTGAGCTTAGGGGGTTTGTGCAAATATTCCCTCAATGCTCACTGCTAGCAGCAGCTTCAGTAATAGTTTAAAGCCACAGATCAGACTTATATAAGTTTTACTGTACATAAGCCATTCATTACAGTATACTTATTCAAATACCATGGTGTATATTTAAATGGTCGCTTTGAGCCAGTCTCTCAGATAGATTACTAAACTCCAAGTCAGCAGTTTCTCATCTTTGACTCGGATCTTGAAGCCTCATTAACCAATGCCCATGTGATATCAATGGAAAACTACAATCCATGATTGTTTGTGGGGGACGCTGCTGTGCGCAATTGGCTGCCGCGTTTCACCCACAAAATACGCAGTCAATTCACTTTACAGTGTATCCTGTGAAGTGCTTTGAGATGTTTAGAAGACGTGAAAAGCGCTATATCAAATGTAAGGATTATTATATTATTACTAACTATGCGGTTTTAGCTGGGTAGACTCCAGCAGTTACCCCAATGCACACACTGGGGTCCCCAAGCCTTGAAAACCTGCGCCTAATACTTTCCAGAATTAGGTAAGCAGGAGATGTCCCTCCAGAGAGACCGAGAGAGAGCGCATTCGATTCCAACAATCTATCTCTGAAATTCCCGTGTGTAGATGGGATGCATGGAATTCTCAGTTTGGTTTCGAGACTCTTAAGCAACAGTGATGGGTTTCCACGTGTCCCCCCAGCTGACCAAAAAAATGACATCACAAAAAGTCTGCTTGGCTAGTTGACTATTACTCATAATTAATTGGTCAGGGAATGTGTGGCACATGTGGAACCTATTGCGATGTTTTAAAGTATCCCAATAAGACAGAGTTGCGCATAATCCTGTTAATCTATAATAAAATCTTTGCTGAAATGGAGGTCATAAATTTTCAAGATTACAGAGATGACATTGTACAGAAACGCATTCAGTTTCATTTTAAAATAATCTATTCATAAATTGTATAAATAACAATATATGATGGAACTCCTCCCCATTCCTCTGAATGATACAAAACTGCAGGTTGTGTCCTCATCCGCACGAGGCTTCGCCCCATCACCCCAATTCCTGGCGCCCCACTGGCTCCCAGTTGCAGAATGGATCAATCTCAAAATCCTCACTCTCAAATCTCCGAAACTCCCTGCCTCAATCTGTCCATCTTCCAATCACACCTGAAGACTTTGCTCTTCGACCATGCCTTCAGTCGCCTCCCATCTCTTCCCAGCTCTGTGTCAAACCGCACCGCTGCTAAGTGCTTTGAAGGGCACTACATAAATGCAAGCTGTTATTATCCCTATACCCAACCTATCCCACTGCAATTCTGGATATGATTTCTAGAGCTCAGCAATTAGTTTAAATCCCACTAAGTAATCATACGGCACAATCAATTATACATGACAAAAAGGGATGCAAGGGTCTAATTACCAACCTTTATTTCTGGAACGTTCATGTATACATCAGAAGATATTGTTACTGCAGCAAAAGTACCTCCCTAAGCTCTGGAACTCCCTGCCTCAATCTGGCCATCTCTCCCCACTCTTTATCTTTAACTCACAGAAATATAAAGGAAACTGTACTAATAGTGTAAAGCAGCACAGATTATCAATAATTAAAATGCACAAAGACAACACATTCAGTCAGTGTTACTCACTTCCTGTCGAGGAGTCCACAGCCTAATGTCCTGCTCAAACTCAAATTTATTATAATGCTACAATAGGGTACAGTTTTGTGAGTATCTGTGATTTTCCTTACATTGATCTACAGTTTCAAAACTCTGGTACCTTGCTTGTGGATAATGACTGGATGAAGGTGAGGTTTACATGAAGGGAAAACTACTGTGGGACTAAACAGTCACATTAGATTGAGATTAGACAGAAAATCTGAATATAATAATAATAATCCTTGCATTTGATATAGCACCTTATGACGTCTTTAAGACGTCTCAAAGCGCTCCACAGAATATACTGTAAAGTGAATTGACTATATTTTGTGGGTGAAACTCGGCAGCCAATTGCGCACAGCAGCGTCCCACAAATAATCGGGCTTTGAGTGACCAAATTATTATAGGAAGGGATTATTACCCCAGGAAAAGAATGGTTCCAAGAAACAAGCTAAAAGACAGAAATAATGCTTGTCCAGCTAGGACCAACCTTCCCATTAGGGCTTTGGTTTGCAGGGTTAACGGGAGCTGAGTGGGATGATTCCCTGCCCCCATTGTAACAGATCATTAAATGCTGAGGAAGTACAAAACAAAAGTAGGCAAGTCACCAGTAAGAATGTATGAAATTCCAGTACAGCTCAGTGCAGTATATATAGAGAAAAAAAGCACGCAGGTGACTGCATCATCTGCTGTCACCCATGCGTGTGATGTTCTGAACCCATGCCCAATGTTTTTTTTCCTCAGCAAATTACAACTTTGTCCAATTATATCCTGTGTAGGAACTTTCTCAGTTCAATGAAGGATTGAACTCCAAATCACTGAACAACCATTCTATTCAGATACAGATTAAAGTATTATTTTAATAGGGCCTGGTCTGTTCTATGAAAGCTTAGATAGCTCTGTCTCTAACACGTTTTCTTTGCTTTGTTATAATATTACACAGGAAACTCATGCTGCCACGATCTGTTTTATATGGGCTTTCTGCGACTCTTAACCCAGTTGAATAATAGGATGGTTACTAATTTAATAATGTACATCATCTGTCAAATTGCTCCATGTTTTAATCATGATAATCGTTGATTCGACATAAGGTGTTAGCACTTTGTTGAACATCTTAAAGGTGAAACTTTGGGCAAGTTTCCTTACTCCACATCTATTAATAATCCCTCAAGAAAAAAAATAATAAATTGGTCACTTCAATCCACGATTGTTTGTGGGACGCTGCTGTGCGCAATTTGGCTGCTGCGTTCGCCCACAAATATAGTCAATGCACTTTCCAGTATATTCTGTAAAGTGCTTTGAGACGTCTGGAAGACGTGAAAAGCGCTATATCAAAAGCAAGGATTATTATTATTATACTGAAAGGCTTCACAGGATTTACTGTGAAGTGTAGTAATTGTATTATGGTGGGTTTAAGGAAGTGGTAAATATAATGATCCTTGCAAATGCTAGTTATATACATATTATATGTATACACCATTGTCAAAACATCAAAGTGCTTCACGAATCGACTGTAAAATGTTGCAGAGCTACTCATTTCTCT